ATATTGATGTTACAATAGACTAAAACAATACTTTTGAATAAATAATGGGATGCAATATTAAAGTATGTAGTGTGATTATCGAACAATAATTCTGTAAAAATGGAATGCAAAAAGTGGTGATTAAAACATGGTAGATTATAGATACTATTCATTGAATTCGACCTTTGATGCTTGGAATTGCTAACTATTTAATAGTGTACAGGTACTACAGTTACATTACATCAGTATCATTTATCGATTTTTTTTTAAATCAATATATCACAGTAATTTTAACATTTATTTGAAAATGAAGGTTAAATTTCTGAAATAAAAAAGAAACCTTTGCAATGATTCATGTTTTATTTTATTCTATATTTCTATAATGAAGTAATTTGTAATAAATAAATATTATTGTTATTATTATACGAAATAAACATGCTAATAATATAAAATTAAAAAAATTTCATTGTCTGAATATATATAAATATATTTTTTAACTACTTCAATTGTTAATGGTTGTTGAAACGTAAAAGGAAACAGTCAAAATATCCTTAATGATCGATTATGCGAATATATTTGAATTCAAGTTGTTTCGTAACATCTGCAATCTTCTAATTGTCTTTGACCTTTTCTAAGACAAAAATAATATTCTCTATTAAATATTTTGTGAGAAAACGTAATAGATAATAAAGGAAAATCTACAATAATCTATTGATTACGTTGATCTTTGATAATTGGAACATGATGGTAGCACCTCAATAAAGTATTTTCGCCAATATTGGAAGTCGTTGCTATTACACAACATATGGCATTTCAATCAACTTGCCATAGTTATATAAACGATTGACAAAAAAATCTAAAACTTTTGCAATGATATAAAATAATTTAAATGCCAAATGATGAATATGGGGAGGTGGAGATTTTCTCATCCCATTAATTTACTCTTTTGGTATTAAAATAATGTTATTATTGTTATTAAAGGTAATGGTCTTTCCGTAAGCGGTAAATACATGAATGGCCTATTGTTCTCTAACTCATGTACTTATATATCTATATGGAATCAAAGAGATGCATTAATTGCCACTTCCTTTCCATAATACTTTCACTTATCGAAAATACAATAAATCACCACCGATTGCTGCAAACTATCCTTGCGTATTATATGCGAGTGTGTAGATTATATCCTATTTTCGGAGCGCTCGTGAGCGTTATTCAAAGTTCGCTAACTATAGAGAGATTGTTATCTGGAAAGCTAGAATAAATACACGGTTTTCCGACGATTGCACAGTTATTATTTGCACACTCGTGTGATTATGGAGTGTTGCAATTGAGAAATGACCGAAAACCAAATGTGTACGTATTCTTTGGCAAGTTCTGATGGATTTGCTAAAATTTGTTGTTTGCTCGTACAAAGGATCTGCTTCTATCGGAAATGCCATGTGTCCGTGCTTTCCTAGTTGCTTAGTGAAGCAACCTTCGTCCGAGCGGCCCACAACACTATCCACTTCATTCCATCAAATAGCATTGATTGGGTTTCCTGTTTGAAAGTGTGTGCGTTTGCCCATTGCGACAGATAACATTTATTTATTTCCTTGCAACTTCGCCGGCTGCCATCGGGGTCATACTCGGACCCCAAGATTAATTAAATCCAGCTACGGATCGATAAAGTGCCGCCTAATTGGACGACCATAATAGATTCCCGATTCGCGAATAATTCCATTCCGGCGAGATCGATCCGATCGATGTGGTTTTGATAGCTACACAGTTATAACCTGCTTCACGAACATATGTTATAAAATGAGCACGTTCGTAATCCATCGGCCAACAATATTAATAAAAAAAGTATGATGTCATCATTTGCATATAAAAAAAAAACATATTTAAACGCACCTTTTAGCCATTCATAAACCAATTAGAGAGAAAAAAATTAGTTCAACATTTGAGCACATTTGTCGCTATAGGTCGTATTAAATTACAAGTTGTTTAAATTTCATAAATATTTAATATTGAATGAAAAGTATTTTTTAGATAATTAAGACAATACAAACAAATGATTAGATTATCTATAAGTTAGTATGTTTAATTTATAATTTATATTGAACTAGAATTTGTCATTAAAATAATATTTGATTATAATTTTAAAAAATTGCTAATTTATTTTTAGAATATAGTGAAAGAATTATTATAGATTATGAAATAAGAGGTTTGTTGCAAAAAAACTCTTGTTTTCGAAACTCTTAGTTGAGTTAAGGTAGGTCCAAGACAATCATGCCTATTCTGGTTCATGCCGAGTAAATAGTACTTTCATATACTATACATGTATAAGGAATATTAAGCAGTTTTTTTTGGGTTGTTCATTGTATAATACAAAATTATACATATTTACCAAAAACAACTGACCTTTTGAAACGTATCCGACTATGTAGAAATTTGGGTTTCTAGAAATGAAGTAGATAATATTTTAAAATTGAATCAAATGTGAACCAGAATCGATTATACACATTGTATTTGTTCAAGTGAGACGCAATTAAAATGAAGTGTGTGAATAATCATTATTAAACAAGGATATGAGTCATCGTGAAATTATCGATGTTGGATCACGTACTTTCAGGAAGAAAGGAATTAAATACATTCTAGTTTTTATTATTTTCAAACTTCTTAGTACATTGCATTAGAAGTTGTTGAAATTGGTACGGGTATACGTAGTAGTCAGTAAACCAATTTCGGATTACGTAATTAAATTGCTTTCCAAACTGCGATTTTCACCGATTTTCAAGGAATTTGTTTATGAATCTTTCAATAATTACTAGTATACTTTGTCCATGTAATTATTTATTATACGCAAATGTTGAAATTAAAAAGCTTTAATAAATTCAAAACTCGATATAATCTAAATTAGGGAATGGCTAATTACCTAGGCGGCACTGGAAGAAGAGCGCAAGTTGAAAATGGATGAATTATCGCTGTATCTTGATATAAATTATGCAGAAAGTAGGTCCACTTTAATCCCATTTGTATTCTCGTTTTTCGACAAGCGCGCAATATCTGAAAGCGAAAGTTCCTTCCTCTCTTAAATACCAATATACTCTTTCTCTCCTTCTATATATAATATTATATATATAATAAATTTAACGAGAACGCACATAAAGTATTTATGCAATCGTGCGAATTGGATTACGTTTCTTTTTTCCAACACGTTTCCTCTCGTTGTCTAACAATTCTTTTATAACATCTAAAGCGCTTTAGGCAATGAGCATGTAGCTTGCGCAATGTAAATTTCGCCAAGTTTCAAGAGTCAAATATATACAGTGTGTGACAGAGAAAGAGACGAACATAGAATGAGTCCATTACCTGCCTCAATATCCCACATACCAAGTAATAATTTATTCAAATCCGATGCGAAGCCAATATTTGCTTTTCTTTTCATTTGTTTTTTTTTCTTCTTTTTCCTCTTCTGCTACTTCGATTCAAAGAATCTGTTCATTCTAATTAGTGCCAGCATCGGGGTTCTGGTGAATCATTCGACTGTATTTTCTTTCTTGGGTAATTGATCCTTGCTCTATCAACCATTGCAATCCGCTCTATCATGTTAAGAGAGTGATGCAAGGCAACAGCTGTGTTCACTATTTATTTTATCAATTGCGTAAAAAATGTATATGGTGAGCTCATGCACTCGAAAAGCGCGGAAATGCTGAACCAACTCTGCAACGTTTCTGGTATATTGACGAGTTACGGAATTGCTAAGAAAACATATATTCTTCCAGAATCATAATCTGTGTGCAATTTCATTGAGATATAAATAAAACGAAGTTTTTCTTAAAGTAATTTCTTATTCGCAGCATTTCTATAAGCCTTATTAAATTCCAAAATCTCCATAAGATGAAGAAAATGTAATTCTTAATGTAATAATAATTATATTATCTACTATACATATTATTTTAATGATTGCATTAGTAGATATGGCACAATAATTTATTGAATAAATATTGTCATTGATAGTGATATTATATGTCCATTTCTTAATTTACAATTGTTTCAATTTAATTTCAAATATATAATTACCTATCATAATACAACAATATATACATTGATGGCGATATTCAGATTATTTGTAAATATAAACATGTCCACATTTAATTATATTAATTAATTCTGATATATTACTGTATATTACTAAACAATTTACTAATTATATTTTATATATACGAGTTATAGTATGTAATTAAATTTAATATTTTGATTAATTTGTTAATTGATAGGTAAATAAACCATTTCGCTGATTTTCCATAAAAAAAAATATATAAATTCTTTAGTGTTGTTTTCGTATTGAATGTGAGTGTGAATTTCGGGAAATCTGACTTTGCAATTAATGCAAGGAAGAAGTTGCAGTAATGACCGAAGCAATGCCAAGTTTAAAAATATAAAAGTCTTTGAACTCACAGAATTATATTTGAGATACGTGGATTCCTATCAATTTCATTGATACAGGTTAATTACACGACACATATTAATCTTGATAAATCTGATAAAATGTGAACTTTAATTATGTTTAATTGAGTGTACCAACTATTATATTGATTTATAATGAAAATCTTCAATACGTTGATAATTAATGCTGCTATACCAGATAAGTATGCTGCACGTAGACAGTATAACTTGTTTTGCGGAAAGTAACAGAGTCTTTGAACTTTCGCAATAATATGAAATATGAATCAAATAAAGTATTTTTGAATTTGAATTTGCTAATGATGTTGATGTCAGTAATCAACTAAGTAGATGATAGTTATTATTATCATTTTTCTATAATCTACAATGGTGATGTGTCTGGATGATTGATGCATGTGGATAAGGGGGTGGGGAAAAGTTTTCGATCAGAGGGAGGTGGTGGGGCACCGATAGTACTTCCTTTTGTTCTAGATCGGATGTTATTTTCGTAAACTATTTATAAATTTTAATTCCCGTCAAATGGTGATGGATGTGATGGTGATCGATGTGTGCAGACGTTAATATGAAGGTCTTACCTTTGAGTCGCCATGCGATCCTAAGGTAATTTGTACAAGAAAAATGATAGTCCAGGAAACTGGAGATAACTGTTGCTGAGAGTTTTTGCGCACACTAGTTGTAGCTGTTGCTGCCGCTGCTGCTGTTCAGGCTGCAGCTGAGGAACCAACTTTTGTTCATAACAAGGACGATGAAGAGCAGCAGTTAAATGCTGGGGGGATGAGCAGCACCGATCATCGGATGCGAACAACAGATAATCACAATAACAGATTTGAGTGTAGAATTGTGTGATGTGGATTGTGTATGTATGGTGGATGTGTAAATTGTTGTGTTTTCTCTGTTTGTTTTCTTTATTTTCAATCTCTTCTATTCTTTCTGCGGATTAAAACGATGCGTCTATGGATAAGAGTCGCGGCACAATGAGGAGAATCGAGGAGGAGAGTGTAGGCACACAGCACACCGCGAAACGCCGGCACCGCGCGCTTTGGTGGGGGCGGACTTTGCTGTGGCGGTGGCGCAAAGGGGGGCCGTCGCCGCCGCCGCCTGGGGCCGCTGCGCCGAACGGCCCCACAACCGTTCCCATACACACTACACACCTATACACATATCCATATACCTATATATCTATATATGCAGAATGTATGTGTGTGTCTATATCTATATATATTGACGCAGCCGAAGCCAGTCGGCCACCCTCCACAGTCTGCTGCACCCCACTTCGTGTGTTTATGATCGCGAGGATAATTATACCTGGTCAATGACGGCCGCCGAGACGCCCTTTGGATCGGCTCTTGACCCGCGCCATAGCGCCTAACATGCACTCCTACCAGAGATTCACTTGTTTACCAAAACACATTCGATCCGAACGAACAAAGTAACATCTCTCGGCTCTCCTCATTTGGTTTCGGATCCGCGGGTTCTGGAAGGCACAAAAACTAAGTGTTCCTCATCATCATCCGCCGTACAAATAGCCAGAAAACTTGTTGATCATCCATGTTCAGAATTTGTAGGAAATACATAGATACACACCAATCTATACATATATAGATATATGTATTGATTGTTGGCTTACTGTCGTCGCACTTGTTGAATAAAAATTACATATCGCCTACGTACATAATTTACTATACCAAACATATATTTACTGATTGCTTGGTTTATTTTTCCTAAATCCCACATGTCTAATCGAATTCCCACATCATACACGGCTATGGGGCGGGGGAGTGATAAAAAAAAAACTTAATTATCTCGTTATTGAGCGAAAGCAATTTTTATATTTATAAACCGAGGACATCCTCCAATTCAAGCAGTTATCCACAAAATAATCATTCGTGGAATTGTCAAAATTGACAAAATCGAATTATTTTTGTGTAACGACAACTAGCTGTAGCGTCTATGAATATCTAACATTCTAGCAAGATTAACTGAAAATTATTAAATACTTATTGGTTTACCAAATAAATACTACCCATTTGATTTATATATATTTGAATCATTTGTTATTATAATATACCTTATCAATAAAATATATAATATATGTGAGAGATTTCAATATTCAAGATAAATATGTTGAAGTAAATTATTTGATTTGCTTTACTTCCTATGTGTTTTCATCGATTTGTAAATGATTTTTGATATTTGAGATCATTAGAAGCATTCGAAATTGAAAAAACAATGTTTCTGTTTGTCTATGGGATTAAGACTTTGTCAAATAGACAAACAGAAACATTTTTTTTTTCAATTTCGAATGCTTCTAATGATCTCAAATATCAAAAATCATTTACAAATTATTTCATTCCATTAGTTTCAGTTTTGTTGCTTTTATTTGATATTAATTATTCCATTTCTAATAAATATAAACTAATATTAATTATAGTCAAAATTATTGGTATTACCCTTCCTTGCAAACGATATAACTCATACGCAGATGCTAAAAATAATGCAATATATAACCAGAGCTTGAGAAAATATACTTAATTCCTGTCGTGTTGAAAATATATACAAACACGTATTAGCAAATCATTTACACTTGTTTTATCAAATACTCAAAGCTGATAGTAACAAAGTACTTCATTGGTGCATACCACGCGGCTTCTCATTAACATCTCTCAATGTCTACGCCACGAAACCCATGTTATTTATGAATTTCAAAATAATCTATTTCAGAAAACGCACTTATTTATAGAGACTCAAGGTGCTTTGCATTTTATCAATGTTACTCCGCGTATTAATAATGCGAATATTGCAGTGATGACACGTCATATAAAGTTGAAAACCCAGTAATATTAATAACGTAAGGAATATAAAATAAATAAGAAACGTCGGCCGATAATAAATTTGAAAACTTGATATTGCAACCACCTGATCACAAACGCCTACGTTTGCACATACATTTCTCTCATTTTTCTTTTCGTAATCAAAGAGTTTCGCAGTTTCATCTTATTTGTTTCTGCAAATGAAGATGCATCATAAAATTGCATCAGGTAACGATTGTATAATATTCTGAACATGGAATAATGGCTTTGACAATATTAGGAACCTCTATGGTTTAAAAATAAACATTATCTAAGTAAAACGATTATTATTAACCTACATACATTTTCATTTTAGAGTCCTTGTAATTATTTATGTTAAACACTTATATCGTATCTGTTCTTCTACTTAAATTGTTATTTATTTTTAGAAAAAATATTTTAAACAAACAGCATTTATTTATATTTGTGCAATCAAATCTACAAATATAAATTAATTGGTGTGTTTGTTATTGTTCATAATAATAGTTATATTATTGTTATATAATTGCATTGATACTCGAGATCAATCGTTTTTGATCCGTATCAAACAAAAGTCTGACCTTTAACAGAAAGAAAGAGAAACCAATGCAGATGGACAGAAAGAGAAGGCGAATCGTTAACCTTTTTTTTTGTTGACGTCTTCTGTACATTTAGAATTGACATGGACGGATGAAACAATTATATTGCGACAACGCTGTGAGCGAACTGGAATGGAATTCCGCTGATCGCTCAGATGAATCTCCTGACTTTGAAAAGCAAAAGCAAGAATAAATGTAAGAGAGTAAATGATAATAAAATATCATTATCCGCGCACTAATGATGATACTTCAAATAAAATGCGTTACTGAAAGAATGAACGTAATTAGACAGAAGTAACGAAACACATTTTAATATTTCAAAAACTTAGTGCTTTTTTTTAACGTAGAAACTACGTTATTACGTGATTTAATTGTTTGAATTTGAAATCGCCCAACGTAACGTTTGTTCTGTTACATAAATGCATTCCTTAGCACAATCCATTGTGTTTGTCTTTAATGCGAAGCTATAATCTACTGGCGTTGGTTAGTGCATTTACACTATAACTCGAGAAAAAGAGGGGGATAAAATTGGGTAATCAATAACTTGTAGGCAGTTCAGAAAGTTTTGTGAAACTTACTCTCAGCTAAATATTTCCTATAAAATATGATACGTGTGTGGCTACGAAATAGACAAAATATTGCGAACTTTTATAAATTGTAAAGCGCAAATCCAAGATTCGTTTCAAACTCTGTGAAAGCCAATACGATGGGAAATCTATAAAACGATTCTACCGAAAGATAACGAAAGACAAAGAAAATGCAAGCACGCAAAAACAGACTGTCCGTTGTTGTTTCTATTTTTTTCGCATTGAAGAAATCTGCAGATGCCAAAACTATTGTTAGAAATCATTTCTATATTTATGTTTTTCAAACTTACACACGAAATACTTTCTCTTAAATCTATATTTAAACTACTAATATACATATATACATATTCAATAGACGAGGAGTATTCCCTGTGTTATATTACTCTAAATTTCCATAACGTTGTATGTATCAAATATTTGTGTTAATTCAATGTTTTGTTAGTTTAGATAATTTCCACTAAAATTAACTTTTATGATACTTTGATTGCATAAAAGCTTAGTAAGCAGTCGGTCAATCGATCTTGACATTAAATAATTGAAATATATATTTACATACAATTATGCAATTAGAATTGATTATCAACAATTCATTATGTATATAGTAAAACTAACTTAATAAATAAGTTGCTAACATTCAATACTAGACTTAGTGGTATAATTTGCAGATTTACTAGATTTCCTAAATATGCCATTTTTTTAAATTTAAATTTTAATGTATACATCATTAATTAAATAAAACTCTGTAGTTTTATTTAATTATAATATAATTATGTTTTTTTTTGCTAAATTAACAAGGAATCTAAAAATCATCAAATTGACTAATTTTATAAATATTTAGTTATTTTATGATTAATCAGATGCAAAATAAGTTTCTAAGTGTAATAATGGATTATCTTTTTTTATGTAACTTTTTCAATGAAGATTATTATTATTTTATATTTCTAAAATTATTAAAAATAATAAGTTTTATATTATAATATTTATAAATAACTATTAACAATATGATAGTCAATTTTCAAATTATAAAAACAGAAATTTTATAAAATACAAATTTTGTTTATACCATATGAAGTAATATATATTTAATGAAATTAAGCTATGATTTTCATAATATATTTATTATATATTATATTTTTATACGAAACATGTATTTATTATGCCCAGCAGAGGTATGTCTTTCGGTATTACGATAAATTAAGTAATAGTATAAATCATGCGAGCTGAAAGAGTAGATTTAGCAAAATTGGTATAGATGATTATATCATTATTCCTAATGAATATTCCATGTAACGGTGAGAGATGATGTAAATTTATTCCAGCGTAAGTCCATGCAATAATTTGTTGCTGGTAGGCTTTAATAAATAATAATTAGAGTTAGCGGAACAAAAAAATAATAATGCACACGGAAAAAGCATACAGGGTAAAGGATAAAATATAGCGGATAATTGAAGAATAGGTTGTTGATTTTCATGCAGTTTGCCGCATGTGGATGTGAGTGCCGCAGGTTGCGTTAGTAGATCAATAATAAAAAAGGTATAAAAAGGAAGAAACGGAGAGTAAAACTAAATTGGAATTCTGATTTATACACGGAAAACAAATCTCTTTCTTTCTCCGTTCTTCCATATCAATTTTAGTCATCATTGCCATTCCACCCTCAACCAAATATATTTCCTAAAGATGAAGAAAAAGTAGTAAGCCTTTGATCTCCTGATTCTATTACTTAGAAGTTATTGTAGGAGTTTCCTGTTTTATTTTGTTGCTTGTTTGTTTGCTTATCCATTAGTTTTTTCGCTCTCGCTCTTATTAAAATGTATGAATTAATTTATGTGTTTGTGTTTCGAGTGCATTTAGCACGCAAAGTTAATCGCCGGCATATAATTAGGTTAATTAATATTGATTTATGAGCAGAGGCGCGGTGATGGTTTATAAATGAAACATATTTAGAGGTATATTGGTTTGTGTACGTGATGGAAGGCCGATGTGGCGGAGGAAAAGGAAAAAAAATATATATATAGAATGGAATA